CACTTGACACAGTGTTTTACACATAAACGCCAAGCAAAATAAATTTAATCAGAATACTTTCCCTCACATCAAACTAAGACCAATAGTACTGACATAATCTATAGGCAGCTGGCTAGGTGGAAAGTAGATAGAGCAGCAGGCCTGGAATCAGAAGACCTGAGTTCAAATCTCAGACACTTACTAGCTGTGTGAACTTGGGCCAGTAACTCCTCTGTTTGCCTCAGTTTCCTCACCTATAAAAATGGAGATATAAGAATATTGTGAGGACCAAATGAGATATTTATAAAGCACTTAGCATAGTGCCTGGCACAAAGTACTATATAAATGCTAGTTATTATTATTAATCAGGGTTTTAATGAAGGTATAGGAAAGAGGTGTAATAGGCATTGTGAAATGTGGGAAAACTTCAGAGGAAAACATAGGCCTTGGGTGGGATACGTGGATAGAAAAATCCGAAGACAGCATGAGAGTAGCCTAAAGTTATTGCACATTCTTGGAAAAGAAAAGAAAAAGAGCTCAGGAAGGTAAAGTTGAAGGGCACAGAACTTGAGCACTCCCCGCTTCCTCTGAAAGACCAAAAAAAAAAAGAGACTCAATTATAGAGAAGTATCCTATAGCTCTACCACTGTGCTGGAAGAGGAAATCCACTGGGGCAGGAGGGGGGTGGGAAGAGGCAGAAGCTGATCTCTTCCCCCTATCTTTTTTTGAAGTAAGTTCACATTGAAGAAAACAACAAGAGCCCAGAAGGAGCTGCACAGGATAGAGCCTGAGTTATATTAGGTACGTTAATTTTTTAGCAACAGAAGTGTGGAGATATTTTTGATTCTATACAGCCATCTATGCACGTGATCATTATCTACCACACTACTGATTGAAATTATCACTGCTTCTGAGGCGTCATTAATTTCTTCCCTACATGACTCTTAACACTTGGCTCGAAGGTTTTTCTTTCCTCTACCCTGTATCTTACTACTATTTCTAGAAATTTCAGCATACATGCTGATGTGACCACAGGGTCCTTTCACCATCCTCTACTTCACAGACCTCTAAAGCCGCACAATAACTTAATTATACCCTCAAAATTCATCATTACGACTTATCATCCTCCTTGGATCTCTGAAATTTAGTGCTCTCTCTTCCATCACAACCACATTGCTTGTTTTTGTCCTCTTTCTCTTGCCTCCTGCATTTTCCTGATTCTATCTCATGCCCCTCTCCATATCTATTTACCTTCAAAGATATTTTCACTCTTTCTTAATTTATCCGTTTTATTAACCCTCTCACAATTACAACGGATTGTCTTTGTACTCCAAGGCCAACTATCTTAGTATCATTGTCCCTAGTACTTTGGACCATCTGGCCATACAGTCCTTCCTCACCCCCTGACTTTGCATGGAGCCACTGTATCAAATCCTCAATCTTACCAATATGATTTCTCCAATTCTGCTCTTATGTAAAGAAGTAGTCAATTACACATTAAAGCTGGCTCTTGCTAAGAATCAGCAATTCTTATACATGTATTTAATTGTTTTGGAGGGTTGAATACATATACAGCAATCTAAGAATTACTCTAAATTCCTTAAATGCCCAATACCCTCACTTTCTATAAATGTCCTCATTCTCCAGTTTCTAGAAAAGACTGAGACTACCCACAAAATAAGTTCCCTCATAATTCCCAACCCCTTCTTCTGCTCAATACATCTCTGTTCCTCTAGCCCCTAGAAAGAGATTTATCTGCTACTGTATAAAGCTAATCAGTAAAACATCTCATCTTCTTCAGGACATGTACAAAACAAATCTCATTATTCAATCCAGATACCCTCCCATCCCCCACAAAAAACTAAGTGTCCATTATGTGCACTGCTCTGTGCTAGGCATGAGATACTATGCTCAGTGCTCTCCCTTAAACTAGTGTCTCTTTACAAACACATTAATATCTCTACAATGATCTCACCAGCCTTCCAGGCTGGAAATCTTGGCATCACTTCTGATTCTTTTTCTCTCCCTTTTCGTCCTCTATATCCATTCTGTCACTAAGGTCTACTCATTTTTTTTCCTTCATCCTTTCTTCTTTGTAACTACAACTAGCAACCTGATATATAGGCCCTCTTCACTTCATACAGATTATAGCAATACACTTAGTAAGTCTCTCCCCCTTTCTTCATGCTGCAATCCATTCTATATACCTCTGCCTTATACATTCTAAAGCTATTTTCATCACTTTCTGCTCAAAGAATTATGTAATTCCCTATTACCAATTACACTAAAACTCAACTTCTATACATAGTTTTTAATGCTCTCCATTATTATGGTCCAAAGTTATTTGCTATAATTATTTAACTTTCTATAATAATATAATTTCCTATAATAAAAATCTAAATAATTTCTATAATAAAGTCTAAAAGTGTAACATCTTAATATAAACTCTTTCTGGTCAGTCATGTCACTCTGACATTACCATGTCCATTCTTGACCACAAGCCTTGGCTCCCACTGTTGCTACAGCCTCCTTCCTATTTTTACCTTCTAGTTATCTATTGATTTCTCCTCTATCTGAATTGCTTTTGCATGTATAGCTTATAAAATATACTTAGTTATTCTCTAATTGTTTCAAAAGCCTACAACCTGTCTCCCCAGTTAGATTATAAAATTCTAAGGGCAAAGACCATATTTTGTAATTCCTCACATTTCTCACATCACATACTGATAGAAACTTGTTAAATGTTCGACAAATATTTAATTATTTTAAACCTATATTTCGAAGATTCTGAAACAAACTCCAAAGTTCAGACACTCAAAGAGCCAAATATCGTTAGCCTCACTGGATGAAACCAACTTTGTGGGCTCTAATTCCTCCTTAAATATTTGGTGTTCGCTCAAAGACACTATTCATTTGTTTATACCACATAACACTTTTTATGCTAATGTCTTCCCTCTGTTAATTATTTTCTATTTATCCTGTATATAGCTTGAGTTACATATATATACACATACACACACACACACACACACACACACATATACATATAAATAAAATACAGGTTCATATTCGTCTTCCCCATTAGATTTTAAACTCCTTAAGAGCAGTGGCTGTCTTTTGCCTTTTTGTATCCCCAGTGCTTAGCACAGCGACTGGCATATCACAGATACTTAATAAATGTTTACTGAATTGAATTAATGACCATAAGCTCAACAAGTAGGATCACTTAGATCACCAATAGTGTTCTCCTCTCTGCATATAAAGACTGGTTTGAAACTGTCATCATTTGCAGGGCCTGTAACTATTTTCAACCCGTCTGTTGATTTTCCTGCACAATGTCTTTGCTTGGAAAGAGACACTGGACTTTTAAAGTATACTGTTTCTGTCCAGTAAAACATAATGGAATTATATTCCAAGAGAAAGGATTTCTCCAAATGTATACATAAGGGATGACCTTGATCCTTATTTTTGTGTCACATAATATTATAACTGGACCAAAAAGATTTAGGATACCCAACACTTCCATCTAGCCTGCACACTCAGACAAAAAAAAAAAAAAATTTAAAAAATCCATCTAATCCAGATATATACCCTCCAACTTCTTACTTTGTTTCACTACTTTCACGTCAAAGGAAATGCTAAACTCATACTCCTTTCATACATTTGTTTAAAAGGACTCTTTTCCTGTCTCTTAAACACTTGAAGGGCATATCTAAATTATCTAAGTCATTACAGAATTTTCAGAGTTGGAAAGGTCTTAGGGCTTTAGTCTAACTCCTTTAGTTTACACATAGGGGAAAGTGAAAAGTGAATTTCTCAAGGTCACAACAGCTAGTTTATGGTAAAAATAGGATCAGAAACTGACTCTCATTTTCCTATTGCTTCCATTAGGCATTTCCTGTCATGAAATTCAAATGTAGCTGATAAAAGAAAAAATAAACCCATTGTACTTGCTGATACAGAAACTAATTGAAGAATTATATTTAAGTTCTTGGTTTTAAAAATATACAGCTATGCATGCCTATTTCCTCTGAAAAACGCAGTTTTTTAAAACGTCACCAAAATGCAGCTGACATCAATTCCAAATTTAGTTATCACACAAACTTCTAACTTTTAACCTGTTTACAAAGCTACGTAATATAACATATTACACATATTATAATATGTAATATAAATTATATATTAGATTATAATGACATATATGATGTAGCACATTTATTACATATAATATATATTGCTGACTATAATTATTTCTTTCGGGGTGGTTTAAATTAAAACAAGCATTTATCAAGTTGTGTATAAACATTATGTATGAAGAGACCAGTGAATAAACAAGTGAACTTCTCCATGACTTAAGACTAATCATTTAGAATATAAATATTCACAGGACAACTGTGAAGAAAACCTAGTATTTAGGAAACTATTCAGGAAAAAAAAAGAACTGAAGATAGCTCTAAATCTAAAATAGTCCCATAACAGCAACATCTACATAGTGCTTACTATGTGCCAGGTATTGTACTAAGTGCTTTATAATTATTATCTCATTAGATCCTTACAACTTTAGGAGGTAGGTGATATTATTATCCTCATCTTTGGCAAAATAAGTTGCCCAGAGTCAAACAGCTATTAAGTGTCTGAGGCCACACTAAACTCAGGTGTCTCTGACTTCCAGTCCCTTGATCTAGCCACTGAACTACGTAGCTTGCCAACTAACATACTAACATACATATCTACCACTCTACTGTAAAAACCTACAAATACCCAAGACTGTATATTAAAGAAAAAATGATTCCATGTAAAAAGCCACAAAATAAGAACTTAAAGTTCTTATAACTTTAAAAGTAAATGTTTCTGTAACTTAAGACAAGGGAATTGAACAAATACTACTTTCAAATTAGCAAAACCATAAACAAACTTTAAAAAGTTAAAATGTAACTAGCTTAATCAATTCCTGGAAATAAATGAGAGTTTTTAATGTAACTATTTTAAAATACTTTATATGTATGTGGGTATATACTTACACCACTTGTGATTTGATCTTTGGAAGGAGCTTCTAGTGAGAGCTTCTTCTCTCCATCAATGTAGATCCACAGCTGGATCTGCAACTTAAGAGTTTTAAGAGAATGTTTGGGGGCCCTGAGGAATCAAATGGCTTGCCCAGAGTCGTACAGCCAATATGGATATAAATGATATTTGAACACAGGTCTTCCTGACACAAAGGCCGGCTCTCTATTCAGCACATCAGTCATCTCTTATAAAGCAAGAACACACAAGTCTGAGAGACAGAAGACCTTGGTTTTAGTCCCAGAATTTTCCTATAATTAATGTTCAACCTTTTTCACTTCATCTCTGAGTCTCAGTTTCTTTCTTGGTAAAATGAAGGGATCATGTTAGAAGCCTGGGTTCTTTTGTTGTTGTTTAGTCATTTCAGTCATGTCTAACTCTTTGTGACCCCATTTGGGGTTTTCTTGGCAAAGATAATGGAATGGTTTGCCATTTCCTTCTCCAGCTCATTTTACAGATGAAGATAAGGTAATAGGTTTAAGTGACTTGCGCAGGGTCACCCAGCTAATAAGTGTCTGAGATAAGAGTTGAACTCACTAAGTCTTCCTCTGACTCCAGGTCTGGTACGCTAGCCATTATATGAAACACAGCCCAGAGAGAACATCTGAAGCAAACATGTAATAGACTGGGACAGTGGGGTCGTAATGGCTCTGATACTGCCAAGGTCAGTAAGAGTCATATTAAAAAAGCTGATTTGTACAACTCCAAGTAACAGTGCCACCAGAATGAAAGTACTCTGATCAGGTGATGTCTAAAGTACCTCCCAGCCCTAAAACTTGTGACATCATGATACTGGAATGTCTCCTTGAAACCAGTAGCGAATCACAGAAGCTCCAGAAAGAAATACATTCAATGGGGCAGCTAGGTGGTACAGTAACAGAGCACTGGCCCTGGAGTCAGGAGGACCTGAGTTCAAATGTGATCTCAGACCAGACACTTGACACTTACTAGTTGTGTGACTAAGCAAGTCATTTGCCTTGCCAAAAAAAAAAAACTTATACATACACACACACACACACAAGAAACAAAGAAATACATTCAAATGCATTCCTGTTTTTCCTCTAGGTCTTATTATATGTTGTCTCTATCAAACTCTGGGGAGGAAGAGAAATCTTAAATTAATTCTGGCAACCAAAACTAATTTTGAAACATTTTTAAATCCCTTTTCCAGTTTTATAGTTTTGTATAGTGGCATACAATCTGACTCAAACAATAACATATACAAGAAGTGAAACCACAGTAATTTGATAGCTATTAAAATAACAGCAAAGCAAATTCTTTTGACTTTACAGTAAATGTCAAAATTATTCAAGTGAAAGAAAAAAATAAGTAACCTTTCTAAAAGTAGACTGCTGACCAAAGAAGAGAAAGAAAACATTATGGGATGTAAAATGGATAATTTGATTACATTACATTAAAAAGTTTTTGCACAAACAAAACTCAATGCAGTCAAGATTAGAAGGAAAGCAGGAAACTGAGGAGAGGGGAATTTTATAACAGGTTTCTCTAATAAAGGCATCATTTCTCAAATATATAGAGAACTGAGTCAAATTTATATGAATACAAGTTACTCCCCAATTGTTAAATGGTAAAGGCTATGAACAGGCAGAAGAAATCAAAACTATCTATAGTCATATGAAGAAATGGCTCTGAATCACTACTGATTAGAGAAATGCAAATTAAAACAACTCTGAGGTCCCACCTCACACCTATCAGATTGGCTAATATGACAGAAAACAAAAATGACAAATATTGGAGGGGATGTGGAAAAATAGGGACACTAATGATGGAGCTTGTGAACTGATCCAACCATTCTAGAGAGTAGTTTGGAACCACGCCCAAAGGGCTATAAAAACTGCATACTCTTTGATCCAGCAACATCACTACTAGATCTGTATCTCAAAGAAATCAAAGAAAAAAAGAAAAGAATCTGTATCCACAACAATATTTATAGTAGCTCTTTTTATGGTGGTAAAGAACTGGAAATAAAAGGGATACCCATCAGTTGGGGAATGGCTGAATTAAGTTATGATACATGATTTGATGGAATACTACTGTGTTCTAAGAAATGAGAAGCAGGATGGTTTCAGTAAAACCTGGGAAGAATTACATATACTGATGTAGCATCACTGTATGATGATCAACTGTAAATGATTTAGCTATTTAGCTATTCTCAGCAATACGATGATCCATATCAATTCTGAAGGACTTATGATGAAAAATACTATCCATCTCCACAGAAAGAACTGATGGTGTATGAAAGCAGATTAAATCAAAGTTTATTTATTATTCCTTTTTTCTTTTGCTACATGGCTAATATGGAAACGTTTTACATGACTACATATGTATAACCTATATCAAATTTCTTATCTTCTCAAGGAGGGGGGAGAGGGAGGAGAATTTGGAACTCAAAATTTTAAAAAATGAAAGTTAAAAAATTTTGTTTGCATGTAATTGAGAAAAAATAAAATTAAAATTAAGTGTAAAAAAAAGTGGACTACATACAGGCAGGTCATCAAGAAACTTGAAAAACTAGAGAAAGTAGTGATACAAAAGTACTTTCTATGTCTTCTCAAATTTTAGCACTAGAACTCAGATTCACATTTATTTGTAGAATTTTAAGCATGAATCATACAGAAAAATCTTTCCAGATTAAGTTTAAAGGTAATTTGTCTCGGATCAACCTTCTTTTCAGAATATTGCTCCAAATTGGAATGTGACCTATTATTACCCTAAGTCCTATTTTTCACTGTCATGTGTCAGTATATACGTGTATACATATATTTTAAGATATAAACTATACAAAACACACACACACACACACACACACACATGTTTTAAGTCAGTCAATTTTGTTTGGAGCATAAGCTAAGTGAAAAATCAATCATGTATGTACGATTTGGGTTATTTTTATAAGAGGTAGAATCCCTATGAATTCAGAATAATTTTGGTATAAAAGAAGAAACATTGCCATACTTGAAATTTAGTTACGAGTTGTAATGCTCATAATTCCTGTGCCAAGAATTTTCTATTACTCTTTAAAACTATCACTATCCATTTCATCCTCAATATCCTACCCATGGCAGGGTTGGGAGGGGGCAGGGGGAAGGGAAGAAGAGCAAGTTTTCTAAAATATTTAATCATGTTGATTTAACTACAGTTTCACACAAACAAAAAAAATTTATTCACTATGTCCAATTAAGCAGAGTTACAGGCTTAAGGCTCTACTCACACAGTTGAGATTGATGAACAAACAGCTGTCCTGTATCTTGAGACAGACATTAGCTTCCTGACTTCCCTATCCTCATAAGCAGCTACTTAAAGTTTGAGTTTTATGCAAGAAAACATTTTAAAGCCTTCAGTGTTTTATTGCAGCAGACTTCAGTTTCATTCCTGTAACACATTTAATATGAAAGATTTGAAACAGTTAAAATTCATTATGAACATTCTAAAAAATTCTAAAATTTTAAGGAACAGTTTCATCACTATTTATATTCATTAAAAAATAATCTGTTGTGAGCACCCTTAAAAAAAAAAAACCCAAGAAGAAACACATTCCACCAGAAGCTTTTCACAAGGCAGTTAATTCAACCCTCTCCATAATTGCTCCTATCTCCCCCCCACTCCCCAGCTTTGTGTGAATATTAAAATAAGCAGATCATCTCTCTTATTTTCCTAAAGGACATTTATTTAAGTTATTTAACACAGAAAGTCCCTGACTTCTGCAAGACCTCATCATCAAAGTAAGTACTAGACCTAGAACCAAAAATCCCAGATTCTCCATCACGGGGAAGCATGAAGTTCCCATTCCACCTGCCCTTGCTGGTGTGTGTATGTTTGCATGCTATGGACAGGAAAAGAATCAATTTCCTACCCTGAGTGGGGTTGAGGGGATGAGAGAGACGGTGGTCAGAGATATGCCGTACTAAGGCTTGGAATACATTTCCCTGAACAATTCATGCTATAAAATGGCAAGTTTTATAAGGTACCTTATAAGTTAAATAGGTTGGGGGGGTGGGTGTTGGGTTGCCTTGGAATCCTAACCATATCATTCATGTAGTTTCTACAAGTAAAAAAGGGTTCTGAATTTCAAACACTTAACTTCATACTGCTCATACTGCAAATTTGGTAAGTACCCTATAATAACAACATAACATTTCCTTTTCTACTTTTCTTTCTTTATGCCTAATATTTTGGTATTATAATATCTTTAACAGTACATATTAAAGAAAAATATAGTCTTCAATTCATTCTGCTCTCCTCCACTCTCCAAAGAAACTTCCCAATATTCTTTTTTTGGGGGGTGAGGAAATGAAGGGGAGGCAGGAGTTTATATAGCAATAACAAGAGATTTAAATATTTAAAGTACAGTAGAGTTTTAAATCATAGTGGCAACAACTTGACTTTAATTATTTTGGCACTAAATCTTACAATAGTTTCATTTATTCAAACAGTAAACAGTATTATACACACACACACACACACACAGTCAGTTAGATCAACCAGCTGAAGCCAAGTTTTGGGTCAAGATGTTCTGATCTGTTTTTCTTTTCATATTATTCTTGAATGGTATAATAAAGTTGTGTTCTAGATTAGGAAATTGTCAAAGTTATAAGGGACTTCAAAGATCTAGTCCAGGGTCTTCATTTTGGAAATGAGGAAACTGAGATCCAAAGAAGTTAAATAATTTTGTCCAATGTCACAAGCTTACTAAATAATCAATGTGGGATTGAAACTCAAGGCCTTTATCTCCAAATCCAGCATTTCCTATTAATATCACAAAAAGAGGCAGTTTGCCTCTGACGCCACACTGATGGACAAGAATACCAATATCTCCAAGATGAGGAAGAGATTTCTCTAGTTATAGCAATTGCCTATAAGAATCTGTTTGCCTTTTGTTTGGCATTCATGTTTTCTCCATCTGAGTGATGATAGTGAAAAATAACTGCTAACATTTACACAGAGCTTTACAGTTTGCAAAATACTTTACAATTATTATCTCATTTGATCCTCGCAACAAACTCTGTGAGATGGATGCTAT